TCTAACATACTTACACTCTAACATACTTACACTCTAACATACTTACACTCTCACACTCTAACATACTTACATCTCTAACATACTTACACTCTAACATACTTACACTCTAACATACTTACACTCTAACATACTTACACTCTCACACTCTAACATACTTACACTCTAACATACTTACACTCTAACATACTTACACTCTAACATACTTACACTCTCACACTCTAACATACTTACACTCTAACATACTTACACTCTAACATACTTACACTCTAACATACTTACACTCTAACATACTTACACTCTAACATACTTACACTCTAACATACTTACACTCTAACATACTTACACTCTCACACTCTAATATACTTACACTCTCACACTCTAAACATACTTACACTCTAACATACTTACACTCTAACATACTTACACTCTAACATACTTACACTCTCACACTCTAACATACTTACACTCTCACACTCTAACATACTTACACTCTAACATACTTACACTCTCACACTCTAACATACTTACACTCTAACATACTTACACTCTCACACTCTAACATACTTACACTCTAACATACTTACACTCTCACACTCTAACATACTTACACTCTAACATACTTACACTCTAACATACTTACACTCTAACATACTTACACTCTAACATACTTACACTCTCACACTCTAACATACTTACACTCTAACATACTTACACTCTTCACACTCTAACATACTTACACTCTAACATACTTACACTCTCACACTCTAACTACTTACACTCTAACATACTTACACTCTCACACTCTAACATACTTACACTCTAACATACTTACACTCTAACATACTTACACTCTAACATACTTACACTCTCACACTCTAACATACTTACACTCTAACATACTTACACTCTCACACTCTAACATACTTACACTCTAACATACTTACACTCTAACATACTTACACTCTAACATACTTACACTCTCACACTCTAACATACTTACACTCTAACATACTTACACTCTAACATACTTACACTCTCACACTCTAACATACTTACACTCTAACATACTTACACTCTAACATACTTACACTCTCACACTCTAACATACTTACACTCTAACATACTTACACTCTAACATACTTACACTCTAACATACTTACACTCTAACATACTTACACTCTAACATACTTACACTCTAACATACTTACACTCTAACATACTTACACTCTAACATACTTACACTCTCACACTCTAACATACTTACACTCTAACATACTCACACTCTAACATACTTACACTCTCACACTCTAACATACTTACACTCTAACATACTCACACTCTAACATACTTACACTCTCACACTCTAACATACTTACACTCTCACACTCTAACATACTTACACTCTCACACTCTAACATACTTACACTCTCACACTCTAACATACTTACACTCTCACACTCTAACATACTTACACTCTCACACTCTAACATACTTACACTCTCACACTCTAACATACTTACACTCTCACACTCTAACATACTTACACTCTCACACTCTAACATACTTTCACTCTCACACCCTAACATACTTACACTCTCACACTCTAACATACTTACACTCTCACACTCTAACATACTTACACTCTCACACTCTAACATACTTACACTCTCACACTCTAACATACTTACACTCTCACACTCTAACATACTTACACTTTCACACTCTAATATACTTACACTCTCACACTCTAACATACTTACACTCTCACACTCTAACATACTTACACTTTCACACTCTAATATACTTACACTCTCACACTCTAACATACTTACACTCTCACACTCTAACATACTTACACTCTCACACTCTAACATACTTACACTCTCACACTCTAACATACTTACACTCTCACACTCTAACATACTTACACTCCTCACATCTCTAACATACTAACACTCTCATCCTCCATCCTCACTCTCCATCCTCACCCTACATCCTCACCCTACATCCTCACCCTCCATCCTCACCCTACATCCTCACCCTACATCCTCACCCTACATCCTCACCCTACATCCTCACCCTACATCCTCACCCTACATCCTCACCCTACATCCTCACCCTCCATCCTCACCCTCCATCCTCACCCTACATCCTCACCCTCCATCCTCACCCTCCATCCTCACCCTACATCCTCACCCTCCATCCTCACCCTCCATCCTCACCCTACATCCTCACCCTCCATCCTCACCCTCCATCCTCACCCTACATCCTCACCCTCCATCCTCACCCTCCATCCTCACCCTACATCCTCACCCTCCATTCCTCACCCTCCATCCTCACTCTCCATCCTCACCCTCCATCCTCACCCTCCATCCTCACCCTACATCCTCACCCTCCATCCTCACCCTCCATCCTCACTCTCCATCCTCACCCTCATCCTCACCCTACATCCTCACCCTACATCCTCACCCTACATCCTCACCCTCCATCCTCACCCTGC